GAACTGCTCTGTTTGCTTTATGGATACCACACCAGCTAAGATGCATAATGAAGATGCTGTTAACCACTATAGTTGGATACAATTACAATGTTTACTATGGCTTGGATTGTGTAGCTGCCATTTTTCCTTGGTAACTAGCAATCAAGTAAAATAATCCCACTGTAAATTTAATTCACAAGGCATTCAGCGTGAATTCAGTTAAGTCAAACCCTGAAAAGCTGCTGCTAGTCTTTTTACAGAAACAGTAAGGCTAAAATTGGGGCTACAGTATAAGTGAGAGGTAAACGTCCCCTAGCCCATTTGGTTAATAAAATTACAGTTCCCATATATTTTTTATAAATAGAACCAGTGAGTTTAACAAAGACATTCAAATCAATGACAGGATGCATAACATGACAACTAATCAACAGTAAAGTTTTCTGCTTATGCGGGGAAAGGGGGGGGTGGAGGGGAGGGAAATCACATGGCACCAAAATGGTTTTTGCTTGTAGTGAACTCAGCCATCAACAGTACTTACCCCAAGAAATATGTTTTTAGAAGAATCAAATCCTGCTGCAAAAATTCTTGCTGTATATGGTGGGTTTCTGTCGCAGACAATCCTGCATGCAAACCTGGATATGGTGCTTTGTGTGATCTGAGTTTCATCATTGTTTTGGCTGCCAGAAATGGTATCTGTTACAACAAAGTCTATAGGGCTTTCTGTTGATCTGCCAACCTGCAAAAATGTAAGACACTTGTGTTACAGCTCTCCAAATATACCTCACAGAAACATCAATGCTATCATCTTGACAAAATTAATTTAGGTCACAATAATCTACCGTCTGCTAACCAATGTTTTGCATGCTGAAATTCAAGCTGTAGACTAAGCCATTTTTTCACATTTTTGCCTTGGGCAAAAATTCACCATTTTCACCGAAAGACAGCTTACTTACTAAAATTGAAACATATGTATACACGTCTGTCTGCAACAAATTGCGAGCAGGTTTTTTTTTAAAGGGACTTTTCCTAAAAGTATGAAAATACTGATTACTACTGTATTTCATAGCCTGTTCTATGAAAAAAAATTCACTCTTTCTTTCTAACAAATTAATTTAATAACGGAACTTTCTATGATCACATTGTGTGTCAAATTGAAACAGAGGTTTTAGACCAAACAGCATATTTCATACATCATAACACAGGGGCGGACAATTATTTCAGGTGGAGGGCTGCGTAACAAGGTTTGG